ACTGCAATGCAAATTATATTTGTATAACTAAAAGGATGAATCTCAATAAGTCAATCCAGGTCATATTTCACTCCACAAATAGAAATTTATATTTTGCATAAAGAAAATTACATTTATTTTAGAACCATTTATTACGATTATCCATACCAAACAAAAAACAATCAAACAAACAAACAAATAAATAATATTTGATAGTTACTTGGTTTTAAATAGTTAATAAATTATTTAAAAAAAGATAATAAAGAAAATAAAATGATCATCTGTTACAAACACACAAACGTTTAAAATAAATTATGTAATTTGATAGTAACTTAATTGTAAATACTTTATAAATTATTTTCCCTTTAGATTTTGGAATAAAATATGACATGATTGAGATAGGCTTCATGATATTAATAAAATAAAATAAAATACAATAAATAAGCCATTTATTTATACAATAATTAAAAAAAATAATTAATTAATTTGGTAGTAACTTAATTTTAAATACTTAGAAATTTACTTATAAAACTTATTTCACTTATTTAAATACTATACATTTTTTTCTCTTTATCGGCCGATACCGATATGGTGGCCGATATATCGTGCATCCCTACTTTTGATTTTAGAATAAAATGTGACATGATAGGCTTTATGATATTAAAACAAAACACAAAACAAATTAAACTAAACTAAACTAAACTTAAATGAAAAGCTTATTTTTGGACCATTAAGACTTTTGCATTGATTGTTTTTATGACAATTGATGATCAAATGATCATCTGTTCCAAACAAACAAATAAACGTTTAAAATACATTATTTAATTTGATAGTAACAATTTTAAATACTTTATAAATTATAAAATAAAAAAATAAAGTAAAATAAAATAAATTTTAAACTGGTGTTATAATAGAGAAGAGTTAAGGTTCAAATATCCTTAGTCATTCGTCATGTCCACATGGCAATGATGTGGTCTGATCCAGAGCACATCTCTATGGATTTCCACGCTGTCTCACAGACACTTTAGTGTCATATATGAAGCATAATCTCTGATTTCACTGCACCATAGGGGTCCATCAGAGATTAACAACAGAAATAATACCGGCTACAGACGAAGCTTAACCTCTTTCTTCTTGATATCCTTTTCAGTAAGCCCCTTTAGAGACAAACATACATTTGGACATCAAGTCGAAAACCCGAGGCCAAAATTATGCAACATGATGAACACAGTGTACTAAAGCATGTCATGGAGAAGAAAAAAGCATTAAAATAAAAACACAAAAATATGGGACAACAAACAAAATTAGCAACAGAGATTGAGCAGCTCAGTTAGTGTGAATGAAAAACAAACACAACCTAATATATAGTTACAGCAGCAGGCGCCCTGAATGACGGAGAAGATCTGAAACCGTTCTCCTCCTTAAACATCCACCTAATCCAAGTCAAAGCCAGAAGTGCAGAACAACAAACACCCTCAGCGGGACACTTCATCTCATCCTCTCTAAACGACTCAAAGTAAAACAACACGACTACTGCCCTCTAAAATACACTTTATCAGAACCCTGCTGGAAAATCCAGTTACAACCAGATTTTGATGAATCATCATCCGGTTTTGACACGGTAGACCAACTTGGTCGAGCTGGATTCGTGAGGATACCATAGTACTTTCATATATGGTAGTACTGAATGATTTCCTTGTTTAGATAAAGTAGATTACGTTTACAGTTTGGAATCAGTAAGAAATTAATATTTTTATTCATCAAGGACGCATTGAAGGACGCATAAAAGACATTAATAAAGTTACAAAAGATTTCTATTTCAATTAAATGCTGTTCTTTCGAACTTTCTTTTCATCAAAGAATCCTTAAATTTTTTTTAGTTTTTTTTTTGTTTCCATAGAAATATGAACTGTTTTCAACACTGATAATGAGCAGAAATGTTTCTTGAGCAACTATGACACATCAGTTTCTGTCACTAACGGGAGGCATTGAGCCGAGCCATGATTCTTACCAAAATGAAGTATTAATAACATTCGAGCATTAATGCAGACTTTCAGTGGGCATGTCACATCTTGCATCCCCGATCATGCAGCATCTTGGTCACGAACAGGGGAAAACGGGAGAGGAAGTTAATGGAATCAATGCTTCTCCCTAGGTGATAAAAGCATCACGGAAAGTAAGGTGTGAAAGAGGATAGTGGCTCTTGGGAAAGACATGTTGACAGCTCTGTCCTTTCCATGTCCCTCTAGAGACGATGAAGGGGTGATGATCAGCTATGAAAGGTTAAATGGACTCTGACTGTTAGCCTGAAGTCGAGAATGTCAGACTGTCAAAATAAAATCAATTTCTGTATTAAATCTTTAAAACCAACATTTATCTTAAGAGTAAGTTATGCATTCCATTTAATTAAATTTAGTTATGCATTCAAGACAAGTTATGCATTGCATTTATTAAAATTGAAGTTATGCATTTAAGTTTTGCATTCAATTTGAAGCAATGCATTCAAGTTATGCATTCAATTCTATTTCATTTAAAGTTGTGTTGAAGTTATGCACTCAATTTAATTCAGTTTAAAGTTATGCATTGAATGTATGCATTGTGTTTATTTAATTTTAAAGTTATGCATTTCATTTATTTCAATTTGAAGTTATGCATTTCAAATGAATTGTAATTGAAAAACAAATGCTAAAGCTCCCATTTAAATCTGCCCTTATTTACCATTATTTCAGTTCTTCGTCGCTGCATAACCAGCATTAAATTAACTATTAGCTAGATATTAGCAAAGCTGCATTACCTACAACAGTAACCTAAGAATACCTAATTAAATTAATATCTGGCTATTAGTTTTGAATTAACTAATAGTGGCTAAATGGGTCAATTTAGATTTTCACATCGAAACTCCGTTCCTCTTTAAACAACACTTAAAATAAAGTTAAATGCACAAGACTAATCAGTGTAAAATATATCCCTACACAAATGAAGGAAATTGCGCTCTTCTGCTTGATAGGTCTTTGGCAACTCGGCACGGTGGATGATTATCTATTTCCCAATAGAATGAGCTGGCTAACATGATTTATTGTCATTTGAGCTGAGCTGTAATTGGCTCATTCGCTATGGCTGGAAAGCCTGTGAACGTGCGGGACACAATCGCAGCTTTCACCCACAGGCTGCGGCTCATTATTCAGCGTAGCCAAAGGAAAGAAATGAATTTCTGCATGGCGAGAGGAGGAGCAGCTGTTTTCCAGAGCTTAGGAATGGGTAACACAATCCTGTCAGGACTATGCAGATGTGCAGACATGCAAAAAAAAAAAACTATCTGACAGACGCGGACACCTTCTCAGTCAAACATAGACGACATTGTGCAATATAAGTTGAGGTATCATTTGCTTGTTCCATTCCCAGACACGCTGAGGTGTTTTAATGAAGAGTGGTGGGACTGCGGTGTGAGGAGAGGGTCCCGTCTTGCCTCTCTCGGCATCATGGCTCCTCAGAGGGGAACAGCTGCACCTCACCCTGTCTATTCTCACATGACAAATCACAGGCCAAAGACAGGAGAACATTCTCACTCCTCAATCCTTGGCACAAGCGTTTCTCCTTTTAAAATGTGTAACAAACACCATGCTTCTCTAAATCATCAGACTGACATCCAAAGGAGAGAATACTTACAAGGCACGGTTTTTAATAATTCACACAGCAAAAAAAAATGACATTTTAAATTAACAGCTGCACCTCACCCTGTCTATTCTCACATGACAAATCACAGGCCAAAGACAGGAGAACATTCTCACTCCTCAATCCTTGGCACAAGCGTTTCTCCTTTTAAAATGTGTAACAAACACCATGCTTCTCTAAATCATCAGACTGACATCCAAAGGAGAGAATACTTACAAGGCACGGTTTTTAATAATTCACACAGCAAAAAAAAATGACATTTTAAATTTCTAATTAGTACTCTGTAGACATTTTGCAAAGTTAACCCCCCAAAAATGGAAACTCTGTCATTTACTCACCCTCATGTGGAACACAAAAGAAGACAATTTGAAGGATGTTGGTAATCAAACCGCTGATGGTAGCCATTGACTTCCATAGTATTATTTTCCATACCATGGAAGTCAATGGCTACCTTCAACTGTTTGATTACCAGCATTCTTCAGAACATGTGCACCGTGCTGGCAAAATGAGTGGGAATGTGCATGGAATGAGCTGCAGGCAAAAAAAATATATATATATTTTTTTCTTTTTATTTAAATTTTTTTTTATTTGAGGTTTTGACAAAAATCAGTTCATTAAGCCCTTGTCTAGCAATCCCAATGATCCAAATAGTAATTAAACATCTAAAATAATCTTTATTTGTATGTTTTCTGAGAGGTCCACCTTTTCCTTTGCTCGCTTCTTGAAGACTGGTGCTTCCCCTCAGCACAAGTTTGGTATAGTTGTAAAGCGCAGCATTCCAGCTTTGTGAATATTCATAGCAAATTCTCGATGGCTGAACCAGTGAAATGTGATGTTCAAACCCATGCTGATGTAAGCAAAATGATTGTGAAAATAAAAAGTACTAATTTTTGAAAATTAACATATCTTCTATTGTGCTCAACAGAAGAAAGAAACTCATACAGGTTTGGAGCATTGGTACTGTGAAGATACAAACCTATGAAAATACTTAGGGCCAGAATTACTAAACAGGGCAAATTAGCATGAGATCACAATTCCATAAAAGCGCTGATGGGAGTAGAAAGTTCTGCGGTTGATCTGAAAGGGAAAATCCTACAAATGCATATAAGCTGCAAAATATCTGTCCATGCCAGAGTTACAAAAGCACAAACATAACCTTTGTGACATCAGCTAAAGAGAAATTATGTTTCAGAGGCATAGCAAAATTACAAACAATAACAATTTAGAATAACATACACTGATTAATCATTCTGAATAGAACCAGGAATGAAAGGTCAATTTAGTTTTCATGTTGAGTTTAACAAACAAGAATCAGCTTTGTGTGTTTCACGCAAAATGACAAGGCTTACCTCTCCCATAGAAGTATTTGTGGTAATAATATGCTCCGAGGTCGATGTGCTCGATGATGTACCGCTTGACCTTTTCACGGTGGATTGGCTGGCTTTCTCGTGGCACCTCCAGTACAGACACGCCAGCATTAGTACAGTGGGAGCTCAAGGAGGACTCAAACGAGCAGTTTTCTCCTCCAGCGCTGTAGGTGGCGTTGTTGGCCCTGGATAGAGATATCCTCCTCTCCCCTTCTCCACCAATCTCATTGCGAAAATGCATGCAACTCAGCACCAATCCATTGCTCTTCCCATCCCCCTCATCCGCATCCAGGTTCTCCTTGGGATTGAGGTCTTCCCGACTTCCGAGCGGCGATTCGAACATGGATGCAGGTCCAGTTGTATTCCCAGCCACTTGTCCACTTCCTGGGACTTGGTATTGGGATGCAGCAGAAGCTCCAGTGGTGGTGTTCTTCCTCTGGCTGAGGGTTACGCGATTGGCCACCGCTTCACTGATGTTAAAGAGGACGCTCTGGACGTCATAGTGAGCGAAGCACTTCTGGAAGCTGAGCGGCCGGCGGTCGTCTTGCTCGGTGGAGAGACGCAGACCGTCATTCTCGCTCTTAATAGTCCTCAGTTTTTTGAACAGCGATGTTTCAGATGATTCCGACTTGAGATGATGCATGAAGGACTTCTCTCTTTCTCGGCTGTAGAGGAGGGAGCTGTCCACGTAGTCGTAGCCGGAGACGTGGATGATCTCGCCGCGGGCTATTTGTGCAGCGGTCTGCAAGCTTGGGGAGAGGGTTGTGTCGTAGCAAAGGAGCTCTGGGAACCCGGCAGGCGGAGCGCTGCGATGGTCCAAGTTGTCAATCCGATATCCTCGCAACATAGTAAAGAACCCATCGTTCCCAAGACCCTGGCGGTCAATCGAAGACGTGCTGCCGTACTCCCGATGCAACGAGGCGCCGGTGTTGGGGTTAACAGCATTCTGGTCCATTATGTCCTCCGCATCAATGTCGCTGATGGTCACGTCACTGTTACTCCGTTGGCGAATGGGATGAATTCCCTTCAAAGGGGATCGACTCAAAAGGTCACTCAAGGAATATTTTGTATCCGAATAATCAGGCTCCAAAGGAGCTTCGCCCAAATCCGTGATCTCCACACTTTGGTCTGGCTGTCCGTTCTGAAAGGCCATGATGACGGTCTCGTAGTTGGGTCCCCAACCCTCCTTTTTTGGGGGCCAGTCCGTCACCCTGGCCCGCACCCCCATTTTAGGCATAGCAGGTGTTCCGTTCGTCTTGCCACCCCCGTCCAGCTTGCCCTGCATGTTGCCCGCTGGATGTCCCATACTCCCATTCAACGCTTTCAGCTTCCTGTTAAACAATTCCTCAGATGACTGCATGATGTTAGAGGAGGCCTCAAGCAACGAAAGGTTCGTTTTATCGCCGATACCCACGGCTCAAGCTCATATCCTGCTTGCAGCTGCTTGCTAAAGCGAGAACTCAAGTCCCCTTATTGGTTACATTGTCATAGGTCACCCATTTGAGTCTCAACTAGTTTCAGAGTCGTCCTAGAGGGAGTCAGCCCACATAAAGGGCCGCCCTTCACTCCAAGTCCATTTTTCTCCAGGAGTGACCAGTTTGATGAAAGACCGGCAGCATTTGGGTGTCACGGACGGCTGGAGCTTCAAGGAGCAGAAGGGGTCAGTTGAAACGGCTCTCTTTTCACAGAGCTCAGCTAATTTAGGACGACAGCTGGAGGAGAGCGATCTGTTGGGATCAAAGAGAAAAACAAAAGCGCATTAAGGCATCTTGCAGAGAACGGCAGAATATATTTATTCGGATACTCTTCCAGGATTTCAGAGAGAACAGTGGGATGTCTTTCTCACAACCTCCTTATGACCACTGAACAATGTAAGACTGTTAGATAAGTGGCAGGGTGTGTACCGCACAACATGCCTGATGACTCCTTCAAGAAGGTCTTCTCACAAAGAAATCTTTCAGAAATATAAATGCCTATTTCTGTTGCTTACTTTTATTGGCCAAGCAGGGGTTCAAATCAGTCTTGTTAGCCATAAACTTAAGGGAACGTTAAGTGGTTTTCAAACTGGATTATGTATTAGGCAAGGAAAACTCAGCGAAATGTCTTTATTTTCATGCCACATTTATTCGCTCCCACAGAGTACTGGAGCCCCCAATTGCAGTGCATATATTACATGCACAACTATAAATGCATATAGTATATATATATATATATATATATATATATATATATATATACACACACGTATATAGACAAGGTTCCCAGTGGGGACTCCAGCATTCGAACTTCACCTTCTGTTCAGCTGTGCAGCTCAACACTTGTGGGTTGGGAAGATGCCACTGATGACCTAAATGGGTTTTTCTTGTTCATGTATATTGCACGGGTGCCACATTCATGCATCTTTATTTATGTGCTATTCAGAATCATGTAACATGACCTGACATTGCTATCAGCCCACAACAAAATCTGCTAAATCCATTATATAGCTTGACTTACAATGTAAACTCTGTGACCCTTTTTCTGAACAGAACCACTAATCTTCATTCCATTTTCACTACTCCTAAAAAAACAGGAACAAGCGACAAAACATCCCGTCTTCACTGCATTCGCCCGATCCCATGATTCAATTTCTGATGTACTGTTTATATTTGCAGGACAAACAACATCTGGAGGGGGAATGTGGGCCACAACAAGATAAGCTGTAATGTATATGCTGTTGTTTTAACACTAAATATAGTGATTACAAATATACACTAAACACTGGATATATAGGCCAATGCTGCATACTGTAATTTCACTATAATGATATTAGAAATATTGCAAGAGTTTGGTTAAAGCATTTTGATTAGTAACAAGCAAATTTTGAGATAACCTGTATGTATATGGGTTTGACCCAAATTAACAGCTGGCGTACATAAAATACAACCAAGACTGAGAAAAATTCATTAATAAGGGAGCCCTGGCTGTAGTTTTGGGATAAAAGAGAATCTGACTGGTTTTAGCTGGTCTTCCAGGCTGGTTTGTTTGTAGGCTGGTTTTAGAGGGGTTTAGACCACTTCTTTAGCTGGTCAGGCTGGTCTTAGCTTTTTTTTCTGCAGGGAAGGACACAAATTAATTCAAAGAAATTCATACTATTGCGGCAGAATAGACAAAAGTGTCTTTAGAAGTCAAAATATTGTTGTATTTCCATATAATTTAACAAAAGTCTATCATAGCTACAGAAAACCACTTTGCAAACCTTAATGGCATCCTTTGACTGGGTTCATCTTTACGAAAAATCATGGTATCACATGGTACTTTGAAGAATGACCATGGTGCATGTTCAAAAACAGGCTAATACTACAATACAGTTTTGTAAGAAAACTTCCAATATAAAAACTATCATGCTATTTCTATGTAAACATCAGATCAGCTAATGTCATTTTCTGATTGCATTGGTTTATTTGCAATGACTTTTCCTAGACTGCTTCCCCTTGGACTGTCCTTCACAACGATACGAGTGAGCAGGATTTTGGATCTCAGTGCTGTAGCCTAACTAACTGTTTTCACATTGAAATGCAGCAGCAGCAAAAGTGCTTCCTGAAATAACTTCAATAAATGAGACAGGCTTTTCTGAAAGGATGAGCAAGGACAAAACAGGAGCTCCGATTACGTAATCCTTTTCACATCGACACAATCATTAAAACACACACACACACACACACACACACACAGACAGCAGGGTCACTGAGAAAAACCCTGTCCTCAAAACACTCAAGGACTATTGAACTGTGACTAAAAGTGTTTCCTTCAGTGTAATGAGACTCAGAATAAACTGCTGAATTCCAAAAGAAAGATTCTTCTCCAAAAGCTCTTTACAAATCTAAACGTCTAAATCCAAATGATGTCTTAACAGAGCAGTTCATCCAAGCAAACCACATTCTAACTGGCCACGAGTTCCAAAGGCTTTTTGTGAAGGCCTTGATGTTAAAACACTTTCTCCTTGCAATGTTAGTCATTTAGCAAATGTTTATATCCAAAGAAACCTAAAAATGAAAAACACTGCAAACAATTCATTATACAAGAGATTAGGGTTGTGACGTGAGGAAATTTTCCCACTGGTTAATCGACGTGTGACAACACCGGTATCACCGCGGGGGCGTTCCCTCTTTTCTTCACTTTCCTTCGCTTTTAAATAGCTTGTAAAAGCGGCGTGCACATTTTACTTTCACTTTCAAATAGCGGCTATTCGGAGTAAAGCAATTGTTCGTTTTTGTTGTTGCATCTTTATATATGTGCTATTCAGAATCATGTAACATGACCTGACATTGCTATCAGCCCACAAAAAATCTGCTAAATCAATTATATAGCTTGACCTACAATGTAAACTCTGTGACCCTTTTTCTGAACAGAACCACTAATCTTCATTCCATTTTCACTACTCCTAAAAAAACAGGAACAAGCGACAAAACATCCCATCTTCACTGCATTCGCCCTATCCCATGATTCAATTTCTGATGTACTGTTTATATTTGCAGGACAAACAACATCTGGAGGGGGAATGTGGGCCACAACAAGATAAGCTGTAATGTATATGCTGTTGTTTTAACACTAAATATAGTGATTACAAATATACACTAAACACTGGATATATAGGCCAATGCTGCATACTGTAATTTCACTATAATGATATTAGAAATATTGCAAGAGTTTGGTTAAAGCATTTTGATTAGTAACAAGCAAATTTTGAGATAACCTGTATGTATATGGGTTTGACCCAAATTAACAGCTGGCGTACATAAAATACAACCAAGACTGAGAAAAATTCATTAATAAGGGAGCCCTGGCTGTAGTTTTGGGATAAAAGAGAATCTGACTGGTTTTAGCTGGTCTTCCAGGCTGGTTTGTTTGTAGGCTGGTTTTAGAGGGGTTTAGACCACTTCTTTAGCTGGTCAGGCTGGTCTTAGCTTTTTTTTCTGCAGGGAAGGACACAAATTAATTCAAAGAAATTCATACTATTGCGGCAGAATAGACAAAAGTGTCTTTAGAAGTCAAAATATTGTTGTATTTCCATATAATTTAACAAAAGTCTATCATAGCTACAGAAAACCACTTTGCAAACCTTAATGGCATCCTTTGACTGGGTTCATCTTTACGAAAAATCATGGTATCACATGGTACTTTGAAGAATGACCATGGTGCATGTTCAAAAACAGGCTAATACTACAATACAGTTTTGTAAGAAAACTTCCAATATAAAAACTATCATGCTATTTCTATGTAAACATCAGATCAGCTAATGTCATTTTCTGATTGCATTGGTTTATTTGCAATGACTTTTCCTAGACTGCTTCCCCTTGGACTGTCCTTCACAACGATACGAGTGAGCAGGATTTTGGATCTCAGTGCTGTAGCCTAACTAACTGTTTTCACATTGAAATGCAGCAGCAGCAAAAGTGCTTCCTGAAATAACTTCAATAAATGAGACAGGCTTTTCTGAAAGGATGAGCAAGGACAAAACAGAGGAGCTCCGATTACGTAATCCTTTTCACATCGACACAATCATTAAAACACACACACACACACACACACACAGACAGCAGGGTCACTGAGAAAAACCCTGTCCTCAAAACACTCAAGGACTATTGAACTGTGACTAAAAGTGTTTCCTTCAGTGTAATGAGACTCAGAATAAACTGCTGAATTCCAAAAGAAAGATTCTTCTCCAAAAGCTCTTTACAAATCTAAACGTCTAAATCCAAATGATGTCTTAACAGAGCAGTTCATCCAAGCAAACCACATTCTAACTGGCCACGAGTTCCAAAGGCTTTTTGTGAAGGCCTTGATGTTAAAACACTTTCTCCTTGCAATGTTAGTCATTTAGCAAATGTTTATATCCAAAGAAACCTAAAAATGAAAAACACTGCAAACAATTCATTATACAAGAGATTAGGGTTGTGACGTGAGGAAATTTATAATATATAACCAAATAAATAAGAAACGTAGAATGTTTATTAGCAAAACGAGTAAGAACGCTTGGAGGCACGGCATACACCTTGATGTCAAATAAAATAAATAAATGACACAAAGTTTAAATAAAGTAAAAATCAGCAAACAATGTGGAACCAATTAAATAAGAAACTAATGTTTAAAAAAACTTCCAAAATCATCTTAGATAAATTACAAAAGACAACAGGCTTTTCAAGATCCCAAATATTGCCAAACAGGCGCTTTTGCATTCAGTTTCGAAACTCATCCGCGATCGTCTTGTCTGTCTCACCTCACTCGTCTTGTCTGTCTCACCTCACTCTTCTTGTCAGTCAGCTGGACTCGCTCTCCTCACTGGAGAAATTAAATCTGATCTGTGATGCGACTGTCGTTCGGCACGCTGCATTGAGCAGTCGCGTTCAGTTTTGAATTGTAGTGTCTGTTCTTTTACTGAATTAAATTATTTTTATTACTATAAAAAACCAAAGCGACGGTGGGGGTCGGTGACGCGGTGGGCAAGTGACGTAACCGGTGTTGCGGCTTAACACCGGTATCACTGTCAGCACCGTCTATCGCGGCAATCCTACAAGAGATAATAATACACTACTGCGACAGCAAGTTTCAAGATTAAGCCAGAATAGTGCCGAAACTAGAGTAGAAGTAAAAATTACAGATGCAACAATATTAAAATTCTGTCCAACAATAAGCTGTCAAGTATTTGTATGGTTGACATATTACATTTTAATATTGTAGAAAAATT